GTGACAAGTTTGGTCCAAATCCGATGTTTCTTTGGAAGATTATCGGACATGCGCACGGACATCATTAGATCGACTTCAAATTTCCTGAAACGGATGACTTTCAAAGAGACTTTGGTTCTAAAGTCGTTATTTCGCGTAGCTAGATCGATTTCAAATATCCTGAAACGGATTTTGGTCCTAGGGTCTAAAACCATCATTTCGATGAGACACGTTTTGGTCGTATCAAAAGCAGCATATAAATGAGTAACTGATTACATCATCAAGGTCCAGGGGAAACTAATAATATTTAAATGGCAGTAATTGGGCATATATACTAACCCTGGAAATAGAGTTTCAGATTTTTTGTACTCTTTCGTACCTGACCATAGCCTTATATAAGGGACTTACCCAGATTGGGTTTTTTGTGTGGACGATTTTTTCCAACTTGATCTAAGTTTAGTAAAATATTTCGAAGTGCCAAGATTGGATCAAATCGGATATTTCTTTGGAAGATTATCGGAAAAGCGCACGAACATCATTAGATCAACTTTAAATTTCCTAAAATGTATGTATGTTCAAAGAGATTTTTGGTTCTTAAGTCGCTATTTTGACATGATATTTATGGCCAAATTAAGATTCCTTTAGTTTCTTTAAAAAAAATTGTGAAAATTTGTTTTGTATCTTTTCAATTCCTACTGGGACGATTTTTTAAATTCCAAGTATTTTTCCAACATTTTACTGTGAAAGATTTTTATTTGTGTGAGCGAAATCTGTCTCATGCTTTAAACATTTTATCTTAATCATTTTATTACAATTTTTATCACATTTTTCCCCAATCCTTTATATCCATAAAACATTTCGGCGCTGCCTAAGATTTTGAGAATATTAATTAAGCTCAACAATTTGGCATTTTAATATTTCTCACTTCCTTTGACCGTTTTCATTACGAACATGTGGTGTGAATTTATGACAATTGTGAATGCAAATAATCCTTCATTTAACCTTCTTTCGTTTGCTTTTTTCCGGCAAAATGATTTTGGGATTAGAATCCTTAAAAACGATTAACGCGTACAACCTTTTTAGCCATTAAGGAAACAGATTTTTTTCGTAGGGAATGTAAGAGGCTTTTCCCATTCATGTCAGGTACTGGACGTTAGAATTTCGACGAAGATGGTGGCACACAAAACCGAAATTAGAAAAAAGAAGGAAAATGAATGAATGTGTTGGCTAAGCAAAGCGGGGTTTGGCAATTCTGCGAAATGTATTCCATTGCCTTGTATCGCTTTAACTTGACTTTATTCTCCAATTGTGGGGGAGAATGTGTGAGTTCAAAATACAGAAGTAGGGAGGCCGCTGCGAGAGAATGAGTGAGTACAATGAATCTAAAGTCAAACGGGATGATTAAATCAAGGCTTTTATTGAAGGAAGAAAAAGAATTCAAGGAAGAAAAATTAAGAGCTATATCTTTGGGATTTCCAGACAGATATATACCCTTAGCCATGTTCGATTATTTAAATATATTTCGACTTCTGTTATGAAAACTCAAATTATTGGCCCTCTAAGGAGTAGGTTCCGCAAGAATTGGCCAATATTGTCCATTTCGTATCGGACCTAAATAAATATTATACAAATATTGCGAAGTACCAAGTGTGGGAGTATATTGGTTACTGCTTTCACTTTATATGAGATATGTGTTAATTTTTAGAAAATGTTAAAATGTGCGTTATGTACCAGATATATTCGACCGAATTATTCCACTTTCGTACTTCATTTAATACAGATAAAAATATTAAAATGGGCTAAATTACCAGAAAATGGAACATTTATATCCAAATTTATGTCAAATCATAAACTCAATATTCATCTCAGGTTTCTGGCTGAGAGAAATATTTGGATATAAGAAGTTGTAAAGAATCGCTGATTTGTTTCCCAAGTTATGACAGATAAAAGTATTGAAAATTGTGACCCTTTGCAGATATATATATATCATCCTCAGAACAGATCTTGTGTTAGCAGAAATGTTTGTATGTGTGAAATTTGAAGAGAGTTGAATGCTTATTTCGCTTTCTATGAGTGTTTTGTTTTTCAAAACCTTTCATTTGGGGCGGAGGTACCAGAAGAAATGGTCCGATCTCCACCTTCTTCATAACAGACCTTGTGTTGATGGATATATACCAATTCTGAATGGAGTCGGGTGTTAATTTCGCGTTTTAAGAGCTTCAAGGGTATTCACAATATTGACCCTTTGTGGGGTAGGTACTAGAAGGAGTGGCCCGATATATCCCATCTTCACACCAGATCTTGTGTTAGTAGAAATAATGGGATGTATAAAATATGAAGAGAGTCGAATGCTTATTTGGGATTTTATGATTTCATTCAAAACTTTGACCCAGCCATCTTTATCTTATGTTGATAGAAATATTCGGATGTGCCAAACCTGAATCGGGTGTAAACTTCGCGTTTTATGAATATTCAAAATTTGACCCTTTGTGGGGTAGGTACCAGAAGGTGTATATCGGAATATTTCGTATGCACACCAGACCATGCGAGTCCGACTCTTACATCACATTTTGTAAGAGTTATAATTATTAAAAATTTTGAACCTTTGTGGGGAAGGTACTTGATGGAGTGAACCAATATTGTCCATTTTCGAACCTGACATAGCACTGATGCAAATATTAGTATTTGCAAAGGTGGAGCAATATCTGATTATCCTTTGTCTTTCTGTGCAGCAAAATATTTTTTTTTTCAACATTTTGAACTTTTGTGGGGGAGTAACCTGAAGGAGTTGACCGATATTGCCTATCTTATCCCTTAGAGAGTTATCGTGCGCACCAGCCAGAGAGACGGACATCGCTAGATCGACTCCAAATGTCCTGAAACGGATTTGGTCCACAGAGTCCTAGGGTCTGGAACCATTATATCGATGAGGCACATCTTGGCACTATCAAATGATGTATACCCTCTCTAGCCACATGACTGAGGGTATAAAACATGTAGAAATCAGCAAAGTTCGGCCCAGAGCTCTCCACTATTTTGAAGGAATTTGAACTATTTCCACAAAATTCCGTCGAAAAACACCGGTCGAAGGAAAACTGTTATATGATCCTGCATTTACAATTTTTGGTCACAGGTTGTAGTACCAATTACGAATATAAATACGAAATTTGAAACAATTCCGGTAAAAAATATTTCTTGTATCAATAGCCTGGAAACGGCTACGAAATTTGAAACGATTCTGGAGACTTATGTTCTAAAAATCATCGAAATACCGAATATCAGGAGGTATCGCTATATACGAATATGTGAACCTGGACTATACGAATATGTGGACCTACATATGCAATTTGTTGTCATAGGTTGTAGTACCCATTACGAACTTTAAATAAAAAAATTTCCTGTAAAAAATCATTTAATGCCGAATATCAGGGGGTATTGTTATATCGGGGCTATACGATAGCGTGAAATGATCTAGCCCATCTTCAACATGAACAAGTAAAAAAGCTGTAAGTTCGGCCGGGCCGAACTTTTAATACCCTCCACCATTTGGTACAAATTTGGCAATTTCCAAAAAATAAAACCCGTTAAAAATTCTGTTAAAATCTTAAAAATACGGTATGCTTTACGACGACGTGGGCCTGCATAGGCAACTTTTGTCATAAATTATTACAATATTTAAATGCAAAACTTGAAGAAAAATCTGTTTATAATGTAGCTAAAATCGTCAAAATACCGAATATGGGGGGTACCGTTATATGGGGGCTATACGAAAACGTGGACCTGCACAGACAATTTTCTGGCATGGGCTGAAGTATCCATTACGAACTTCACATGCGAAATTTGAAAAAATCCCTGTAAATAATGCCGCTAAAATCATTAAAATACCGAATATCGGGGGTACCGTTATATGGGGGCTATATGAAGACGTGGACCTACATGGCTCATTCTTTGACTTTGGATGAAGTATCCATTACGAACTTCAAATACCAAATTTGAAACGATTCCGGTAAACAATGTCGCTAAAATCATCAAAAAAACCGAATATCGGGGGGTACCGTTATATGGGGGCTACAGGAACACGTGAACCTGCACAGACAATTTTCTGTCCTAGGCTGTAGCATCCATTACAAACTTCAAATGCCAAATTTGAAATAATTCCGGTGAATAATGTCGCTAAAATCATCAAAATATCGAATATCGGGAGGTACCGTTATATGGGGGCTATATGATAACTTCGACCTACATGGCCCATTTACGAACTTAACCTGCCTACTGGGAAAAAATACATGTGTGCAAAATTTTAGCCTTCTATCTCAATTTGTTCGTGATTACAACAGACAGACAGACAGACAGACAGACAGACACACAGACAGACAGACGGACATGGCTAAATCGTCTTAGAATTTTACGCTGATCAAGAATATATATACTTTGTTGGATCTGACATGAATATTTCGAGGAGTTACAAACGCAATGACGAACTTAATATACCATCCATACTATGTATGGTTGAGGGTATAAAAACCCTATCTCACGAATCTTGCATTTGACCTCTCGATAGCTGGCTTTTAAGGAGTTCCTCCACCTCTACGCACAACCAAGTCTATTGAAATTTAGCAATTACAACAATCTGCCACATTGTTAAAATGGCAGCAGATTGTGGCGTAAAGTCGTGAAGAAAAAACACGAGATACGGGAAAAGCTAATTTGGCAAATGTATATGTCTCCCGAATGACTTGAATACAAAAAATACAATATGAAAACGGAATCAGTTCGTATTAAATAAACATCAACATATTTATGTTTATTAAACATTTTTGTTGTTGTTGCTGCTGTTTGTGGTGGTGGGGGTGTTCAAAGCTGATACTCCTCGAACGACCTTTGTTTCTCAGCGCCGCCATTTGGGAATTTTTCGTGCAAAGTGAAAATACTTACTCACACACACACAGGCACACCTAGGCACCCACGCAATTTGGTCCTTAGTAATTACAGTCAGCAGTTCTAAGTTATCTACCACTTACTTTGTTACTACATCAACAACCACAACGACGACGACAATACGTGCAACAGCAAACATAAATAGCACCAGCATCATGGCTCCACAGCAAATCCGGCCAGCATACACTGCCACGGAGAAGGTCACATAGCGTTTTGTTGCGTACTCCGAAAAAACGCAATTAGAAGTTGAAATAGGTGCTATTTGCCTGATGTATATGAACGACGAAGTAAAGCAGAACACTTTCACGGCGTAGACGGATGGACGGATTTGTGTGTAGGCAGGGGTTTACCCAGGCATCGCTGGAGCAGCGATACGATGTGATGCCTTGTGGAAAGGTATGAAAACAACACGGCCACAAATGGCTCTATTTATGGATTTTATGTGTGTCTCACGCGATTTACGTGGCATATTCAACGACACAATATGCGGCAGGCCAAAAGTGAACGAAGTTTTATCCCGTGTGCGAGTGCCTCCTGGACGGGTGCGAGTATGTATGTGTTTTGTAATTACAAAAACACAAATAGGCAAATTAAAAAAGGAAACGTGTAACAATATGTGTACATGTGTGTGTGTGTGTGTATGTGTAGAATGAGTGCCAGCCAGTAAGTGATGAATACGAGCAATAATTTGTAGATTCATAGCCTGTACATTTCTTAAAAAAGAGAACACGTTTTTATTCAGATGTTTCGTGTTTTGTAGCAAATAAAACACATCCTTTGCAAATGGCAGTTTGCCATGTGAAAAATGGCCCATTAACCCATTAGAGGCCGAATTTAAATGAGTTTAAAGAGAAAACATTGAGTTTTGAAGAGAGTATAATGTCAGATATTCCTCTGTTGCAGGTGGAAATTTGGTGTTAATAAAACCAGTTCCTTTTTCTTTCTCCTTCTTATACCCTCCACAATGTAAAGGAGGGTATATTTAATTTGTCACACCCCTAAATATTCGTCGTAGACCCCATAGGCATAAATTCTTCAAATTCCAAGTCGATTCAATGATATCCGACTGTCTGTTCAAATCACGATACAGTCCACACTAATAGATGTAGAACTTTGAAATTTGGCATTTTAATTTGTATTATGTCTAAGATGTTGGAATTAAGAATGAGGTATATCAGCAAAGGTTTTCGTATAACCCCTATATAACGCTATCTTTCGACATTTTCAGGGTTTAAATTTTACCACGAATTTGACTAAAAATTGATATTTGTAGTTCGTGATGGGTTCTCGTTTCGTTAACAGAACATTGTATAGATACCGTAATATGTATAAGAAATAGGGGTCCTATAACATTTAGTGTTTTGACAATTTAAGTCAAATTTTTAAACAGATTTGTATAAAATTTGATATTTTTAGTTCGCAATATGTTCCAGCTCCGTTGGAAGAACAATGGATATATAGGTTCACGTCTTCCTATAACAACCGTATACCGGTACCTCTCGATATTCGATCTTTTGATTATTTACAAAAAATTATCAATGTACATAGGTCCACTTTTTGGTAAAGCAGTTATATGATGATATTTCCTGATTCTAGTTTTTGTCCATTTCGTATCGGACCTTAATAAACGTGATATAAATATTTGGATATAGCAAGTTGTAAAGAATCGCTGCATTTTTTCGCAAGTTATGACAGATTGAAGTATTGGAAATTGTGACTTTTTGTGGGTGAGGTATCAGAAGGGGTCCGCAGATATCTAACATCTTCACAATTGATCTTGTGTTAGCAAAAATGTTTGTATGTGTGAAATTTGAAGAGAGGTGGATGCTTATTTTGTTTTTTTTTTTGAGCGTTTGTTTTTCAAAATATTGAACCCTATGTGGGGAAGGTACCAGAAGAAATTATCCGTTCTCTACCATCTTTATAATAGATCTTGTGTTGATAGAAGTAATGGGATGTGTCAAGTAAGAATAGAATCGGATGTTAGTTTCGTGTTTTATGAGCTCCATGAATATTGAAAATGTTGACCCTTTTGTGGGGGAGGTACCAAAAGGAATGGACCGATATATTCCATATTCACACCAGACCTCGGATTAATAACAAGTTAAAAAGCAGTAAGTTCGGCCGGGCCGAACTTTGAATACCCTCCACCATTTGGAACGAATTTGGAAATAAAATCATCAAAAATTATGTTAAAAATTTTAAAAATAACGAATATAGCCGTTATATTGGTGTCTACACGACGTGCAGGTCCACGTCAATTCGTCGGTATTGTTAGTCATAAGTCATTACCATATTCAAATTCGCAACTTGAAATAAACGGTGAATAATGTACCTAAAATCATTAAAATATCGCATATAGGGAGGTGCCGTTACATCGGAGCTGTGCGAAGACATGGACCAGAATAGACAATTGTCTGCCATAGGCTGTAGCATCCATTACGAATTTCAAATACTACAACTCAAACAATTTAGGTGGGTATTGTACCTAAACTCGTCAAAATACCCAATATAGGGAGGTACTGCTATATGGGGCCTATACGAAGATCTGGACCTGCATAGACAATTTTCTGTCTTGTGTGTTATTTGAAGAAAATCGGACTGTTACATCACATTTTATTAGAGTTATTATTATTCAAAATGTTGACCCTTTGTGTGGGAGGCACTTTATGGAGTGAACCGATATTGTCCATTTTCGCACCTGACATAGCACAGATGGAAACATTAGAATTTGCAAAGTTGGAGCAAAATCGGATTATTCTTTCTCTGAAGCAAATATTTTCTTTGAAAACTTTGACATTTTGTGGGGGGTGTACCCGAATGAGTGGACCGATATTACCTATCTCCAAACTCGATCTATGTTTGATAATAAAATCGTGATATAGCAAGTTTGGACCAAATCGGATACTTCCTTTGAGAGTTATCGTGCGCAATAGCCAGACAGTCGGACGAACGGACGTACATGGCTATATCGACACCAAATTTCCTGAAACGAATTTTGTCCAAAGAGACCTATGTCTAAAGTCGTTATTTCGAAGAGGCACGTTATGACCGTATCAAATGATATATAAATCTAGCCATATGTCTGAGGGCATACACATGTTGATCTTTTGTTGGAATAGTAAGTAGGCCAATGTTGCCTTAACCAAAGTCTTGTCTACATGTTACGGGTACTCTTACATTCCCTGTCATTTATTTAGAAATTTTGAGTTTTTCTTAGGGCGGAGGTGCCGAAAGGGGTTAACCATTTCCGGACCCAATCCAAGTTTTGTGAAAATATTACGATGATCTAAATTTAAAATGGTTGCTCCCTTCCAGATTTTTCGTACACACATATAGACGTACGGACATGGCTGGATCGACTCCAAATATCCTGAAACTAATTTCGTTTCGATCTAAACCCCGTCATTTCGATGAGCCCTAAGGCTGAGGGTATAAAAACAGTTGGGACTTCCATATAGAGGCTATTGCGAGTATTCCCTTATATTGGCAATCTCCTGTGTGAAAGGTTTGAATTCGGAAAACATCTGTAACTTTGAAATTGCTCGATAGTTGTCTTAAATATACTAAACTTTTTTTATGGAAACTTGTTCCTTTCCAAATATCGAAAACCATTTTCCTTTATTAATATTTGGAACTCCGTATCAAAAAAGGAAGGGTCCATCCTTTCAACAGCCGAAATGACAAACAGTCATAGAATGTTTACCAGTAAGGAAAGCTCAAAAGTCGGGCGGGGCCGACCATATGATACCCTACACCAATATGCATATTTAGTAGAGCTCTCGTAAAAAGGTTTATACATGGCATTTCAGAGCTCTATGAGATATTTGATACAAAATCAAAATCTATCTAATTCTATAGTGCATTTTACGAACTATAGCTATCTCTGAACCGGGTTTCTCCAAATTTTACGTATTAGCTTCTAAACTGGTGATTTGGGCTGATATTGACCATTTAGTGCACATTTAACCCGAAATCGGATGATATATATGAGAGCTATATCTAAATTTGATCCGATTCTCACCAATTTCAATAGGGTTCGTCCTTGGGCCAAAAAAATATTGTTTGGAAAATTTCATCTCAATCGGATAATAAATGCGACCTGCATTTTGTTCACAAGAATACATGGACAGACGGACGGACGGACGGACATGCATAAATCGACTAAGAAAGTGATTCTATGAAGGTTCTCAAAAGTAACTATGGGTCTATCTCGTTTCCTTCTCCATGTTACAAACAAATGCACAAAGACATAATACCCTTATCACTATGTGGTGTAGGGTATAAAAAACTTAATTTATGTAAAATGGAGCGCATGGGAGACCTCATTCCTGTCTCATACTTCATAAAATCAGATTATTTTTTTTTTTTCAAAAATTATAGCAGAATGACAACTCTAAGTATATATCTCAAATGAAAACATGCAAATTTTTTACTTACCTCCAAATCATCTTTGCTGCCGCTGCCAATAGCAATTGCGCCACCACTGCCGCCACCTCCACTCAGAGATAACTTCCGATTACGTTCACGTTCCAAACGCAACAATATCTGGGCATTTTGTTCACACGTGTATGTGTGCACCTTGCGGCGACGCTCCAGGCTGTATTCGTAAAGAGGACGCGTTGGATCCGGATTTAGCTCAGCATCTGAGCCAGCATCGCAACTGCAAAGCGATTGATTACTACGGCCCTTGCTGCGGCGCAGTGAACCACGATTCTGAGACGCCACAACCCGCTGTTCGCTTATGTGATTCGAAAAGGTGACATTGTTCTGATGGCCTGGCCGTTGTTGATTGCTGGAGCTATCGTTGCTGCTATTGGCACCACCGCCGGTTGTTGCTTGAGACTGAATGAGATTGTTGGTATTCAAATGGCTGGTCATGGCTGAACAGCTGCCCGATCGCAGGACTTGCATTGCTGTATCCGAATAATGGGAAGAGGCTTCGTAGTTGTCGAAACTAAGATCCTGCCCTGCAGTTCCACTTAGACGGGCCCCATAGGCCGCTGAAGGCATTATAGGCGGGTACGAGGGAGCTATGGTGGCAGCCGATGTGGGGCTGAAGGATCGCAGACGTTCACAGGCCCTTAGGCTGCTGCGCAACACTGGCGTCTGACTGCCACTCAGGGAACTTTTCCGTTTCGAGGGGGATACATAGTAGATTTCCCGCTCGTCAAACTGTATCTCACCCATGGAAGAATTGTGATTGCCGTTCTCACTGATATACTGGGAGCTGCGTCCTATTGTGGTGGCTGTGGCAGTGGTACTGGTCGAGGAACTGCCACCACTGGTGCTGTTCATGTGAGGATGATCTGTGAGATTTTGCAGTAAGGGGTGTCTGTAGCTGCCATTACTAAGGCTTTGTTGGCATAGTGCCAGGGAAGATTTGGGTTCGGGCGAGGAATTGCAGCTGGAACGATAGCTGTCATGTGAGACTGACGAATGGTGTTGTTGTTGTTGTTGCTGCTGTTGCTGATGGAAACGTGTTGTTGTATCGACCGAGCGTCTTAAATCGGTCATTGTATTGTTAAGCCTGGCTGTGGTTCTTGGTGGTAAGCCCCTCTGCGTTACCACTCTGCCACTTCGATGATGATTAAAAGTTAATCTGTATTCTTCCTCCTGGAATAGATTACCTGCTATTTTTCCGTTTACGTTAAAATCTGTTCAAACCTATGGAGAAGATGTGGGTGGTGGCTACGTAAACTTATTGTCATTTCTTGGGTTGTTTCTTTTCCTTGGCTGGGACGTGTGTGTGCGTCTGGTTGGCTGACAGGTTGGTTGGCTGCTTTTGTCCTTTATCCTTCACAGTTTTGGGTCTTGGCCTTATCAAATATTCATGGGGCAGCTGTCGTCTGTTGCTCGTTTCCACACTGCTTGCTCGGCTTGTGTGTAGAAGGAGTAGGAGGAGCAGCAGTATGTTTCTTTCAGTTTATGTTGATGGCCGTCGTTTGGTTCCTGCCAACCCTGGTCATGCCTTCATTTGCATTCAGTTAACGTAGATTGCATGTAAATATATTCCCAACTTCCGTTCAGTATAATATAGCTTATGATGATGCCAGACGTACGCTACAGCTAGTGGCTGTGGGGTATTGTTTCCAAATGTGGGAGTGGCCCTGTGTGTGACATAAGGTTGCCAAATGTTGTCGCTATCGTTTCGTTTCGTCTCGTTTTTTTATTGGGCGCCACTTAAATCTGGAAAATTTTCAATGCACAGCTAATTCATCCCCATTCAACATCAAAACACTTGAATCCTTTCAATATTTCATACAAATTCCACTTGCTGGCGAGGCTATTAAAATTTCAAATTTTCTTGATCAGGAATCAGAATGCAACATTCACTAAGCGGGCTTTGTTCGCTAAGCGCTATCGTGCTTCTTTTTTATGATTGGGGGTCTTAGTGCATTATCCCCTTTTTGTGTCGTGCCATAGCAAAAGATCTCATAAATACCAAATGACTACAATTTCATTCCCAAAGGAATAATGCGGGGGGCCACTTTAGTGTTGTCAACTCCAGCTCTCTCGAGTTGCACCTTCATTTGCTGCATTTATTTCGCATTCACCAAGTGATTCTTAAAGGATTAGCTTCAGTTTAGATTTCACTTCCCTTTCCTTTGTTCTTTGTGAGGGTGTTTGTGTGATTGAAGAGCGTAAGGGTGGGGGTTGCATTTATTGTATTTCTTTATCCTTGAAGTTGAGCTTTTGTTGATTGCTGGCAACGTTTGCGTAATTTTATGTTAATGCATCTGCAATTTTGCAACGTTTCCAGTTGTGGCGTGCTTCGTTTTTTCTTTGTTTGTTTTTGCTTTTGCCTTTGACAATTCTTAGGTTACACTTTTTAATAAAACTCTTTGCACCATAATCTTGGCCAATGTCATTGTTATCACCAGGTCCCCTTATAAATGCCGAGGTGATGTTTTACAAAAAGAAGTCTGCAAATAAAAGAAAAATGTAGAAGGTAAATGTTAGTTTCAGTTTTTTTTCTGCGAAAATGAATAAAAAGAAACGAATTTAGAAGCAAATATGTAAAATAAGCTATTTCAAGTTTTCTATAACCTTTTTGAAATAATGAGAAAATAAAATGAAATGAAAAAAGTTTTTCTTTTCGGAATTGTAAATATTTTCGCATAGCCTACTATTTTGAATTGCTTGGTATTTTTTGTCACATTTCAAAAATATTCAGCACTTTATACAGCTTTGACTCTCCAAATGTACAGCCTAGGCATTGCATTTCCTAGCAGATCGACGCAGAACTCTCTTATGGGAATAGGGTAGACTTCAATGTAAAAAAAACAACTTTAAGTTCGACGGAGCCAAAATTATGTTCATTAGGGTTGATATTAGTCATTTTGTGCACAATAAACCTGAAATCGGATAAAGATATAAATGGGAGCTACATTCAAACCCAATCCGATATCGATAATATTTGGCAAAGATATTTCTGAGCTCTATGAGATATCTGCTTAAAATTATGATTGTTGTAGATTGTATATTACGAATGTGAGGGATTTAAACACCAAATCGGATTTAACATATATATATATATATATATATATATATGGGAGTTACATCTATGTCTATACCGATTTTCATTAAATTTGATTCATTTGCTTAACTGAATTTTGTTGGAAGTACCAAAATTCACTCCATTTGGACTGATATTAACCATTTGGTACACAATAAATTGAAAATCGGTCGAAGATATATATGGGAGCTATATCTATATTCAAATCTCAACCGATCTATATATAATTTGGCAAGGGTATTTCTGAGGTCTATTATATATCTGGTATACCATGTGGCATATCACGATTGTGTTGGATTTAAACAACAAATCGGATGAAAATATATATGGGAGCTAAAGCTATATCTGAACGGATTTTTATCAAATTTGATGTACTTGCTTCTAAGACGAATTAGGTCGGGTGTGCCAAAATTCAAGTCATTTAGACTTATATTGGCCATATTGTGCACAATTAACTCGAAATTAATGAATCTACTCAGAAAGTATTCCTATGAAGATCCTCAAAAGTAACTGTGTTCCTTCTTCATGTTACAAACAAATGTTCAAAGTTATAATACCCCTACCACTATGTGGTGTAGGGTGTAAAAGCAGGATCATGATTCAAAATTCGAACGTATTTCAACTTAATTTTCAAATACTAGATTGGATAAAGAATCTGAAAAGACTGACTGTCTGATTCATCAACGCCCAGGCGAAACATTTAAAGCTAGGATCTTGAACTTTTATATGTGGGGGTAGGGGTGAGATAAGGCCGGATTTTTAGACTAGAATTCTACTAAAAGTACTAAAAATCACTAAATTACTAAATATCGTACCTATTGGTATTAGAATCGCAACCTGGACATATAAAGGTGGTTTCGGAAATAAATACTATACATACAGGGCGAGATAAAAAAATGCAACAAAGTCAAACGCCATAATTTTTACATTTCTTTAATTTTATTGAATGAAAACATAAATGTCGGAAATAGCATCAAATTTTAGAATAAGTTTAGATTTGTTGGAATAGGTCATCATTGGCACGAATTATGGTCTTCAAAAGGCCAATAAAACCGCCACACGCTGCCCGAATATTGATCTGCGGTATTTTGGCCCATCCTCGGCGAAGCGCTTTTTTCCTGCCAACCTTGCTTTCCAAAATTCGCCAGACACAATAGTCCAACGGATTGGTATCCGGAGATTTTAATTGCCATTGTGCGCTAGTAATGAACAGAGGAACCTCATTTTGTAATCATTCTTGGGTGGCGCGTGCTGAGTGCTGAGTCCTGTTGGAATGTGATATGTCCAAGGTCTGCGGCCAAAATCTTTGCGTGCCCAAGGCTTTAATACACCCTCCAGAATATTTTCGCGATAATATCCGGCATTTATTCTGTTGCCACGGTCGATTAATACGAGCGGAGAGTGAGCATCGGCTGTTATGGCGGTCCACACCATCACCATGGCCGGAGTTTGAGTTCTGCTGGCCAACCGAAGGTGCACATTTTCAGCTGACCTCTTTGGCAGGTAAAAACGATCAGTTTGTTTGTTCACAAACTGCTGGACAACGAATGTTTTCTCAAATTTAATATTGAGGTCTTTGTTGTTGTCTATGATTGAGTGAATGGATTTGAATGAATGTATAGAAGTGGAATCCCGAAATTCCATATTGACCACACTCTCTGCCACAGCGGCCATATTCTCGGGTTTAAGCTCTGTTTTTTGGCTTTTCACGCTTTGATTTATCGATGTAGATTCTAATATTAAAATTAAACATTTTGGGAATATTTCTTCTGTATTTTCCATTTTATAATCCAAATTAAAAAAAATGACTCAGGTCGACCCCTTTTTAGAGCAAAAAGAACTATTAACCTTTAGTGATCGTCGAATTCAATAAGATCCAATTTATTCAATTTTTCAGTGTTATCACAGCTTTAGGTAACAACTTTGGGTCTCCCAGGACTTGTAATATAATTACGATTATAGTCTTTAAATTTATTAATATATGGTTTTCCTCTCTATCCAGTGTCACATGTATTTAATAAGTATTTAAAATTTTATGTACATAACCTCTCACATTCGTTCCGGTGTATAAAAAATTTACCCCTAAGAAAATAGCATATACATATGTTACAGTGCCTCTAAAGTTTATAGGTATATAACTACCACATGCCATCCTTTTTAATTTCCGAAATCATTTTATATACCCAGAGTCCATAAACTAAACTACTCTACTTTGGTTTATAAATAACTTGATTCCTTGAATGCCACAATGAAATCTAATGAAGAAATTCATTTTTGGTTGGCCACCATAATTTGGCTGACATGTCAACACTCACGACATGTCAAACGTTTTAGCATCAATTTTGATGACAATATTTGTAGCCAACCGAACTGGCTTTTGCTTCATCCCGGTAACAGATGATGCCAATAAAAATAGAACGATAAAAAAAATGAGCAACGTAACATGTGGCGGTCGCCCAACCTAATTGAAAACTATCTCATAAAACGAAATGAACATTTTTCAACTGACCATAAACGGATTGGAACGTGTCAATGTCTAAATCTAGATTGTGCAGGCAATGATTTGCAGATACTCAGAGACACAGCGTATCTGTAGCTAAAAAAACGGAAACAGGAAGTAAAATTCAATCCTCTTTTTTATGGCGCCCAAGAAATAAACATGAAGCGATGTTGACATCTTTTGATGGGGAAAAATATCTCTAAAGATGTTTGTGTGAGGACAACAAACAACAGCGAGTTCTAGGCAACCTAGTTCCACAACACATCATGCATGCACGCACATGCACATATACCCATAAAGCATAATGATGCTGATAGATATTCTGGCTTGTTTGCAAGACATATGAAAGGAAATGTTACATTATCCTGTGCCAGGATATACACAGGATACCCGCTGCACAAATACAAACTAATAAATATATCTATTACCATTTTTCGGTTTGAAGTCAGACACTAACCACCCGACCAACCACCCACTTTCCCCCGTTCTCCATGAATGTTGTGAAAAAAGGAAAAAAATTTACAGTTACATAAATTTGCCTGAAGAGATAAATACAAGTCTGCGTTAGTTATGACAGTAGCGTGCCCTAATAATGCTGCTCCTGCTGCTCTTTAATGTTGAATGCGTGTGTGTATGTGCGTCGTAGGGGGAAGGGTAATTGGGGGGTTTTCCAACAGCTTCCTTAGCTTTTTTTTTTGGCTTTCATAAAATTTATGTTTTCTGCATTTAGGAAAAACCAAATGGATGACTGAACATCAGAGGACTTTTGGGTTGTAAAGGAGAAACGAATGAATTGATAGAAATGGGAAAACTTGCGGGGTTATGTTAATGTAAGGATTCTCAACCGAAGGGGTTGCACTGTGGGTGAGTGTTTATTAAAATTTCGAACCCTTTTTTCAATTTAATATATATAGAAGTAGAAAATATATGTTTAAAATTGTAAGACGATTATATTGGTCCTGGTTAAGCATCTAGAATCTTTAAATTTCGAATATAGGTTATTATTTGCAATAAGGTGGTATTTTTGGTAGTTTGCTCTGTGTTGTATCCGCAAAAAGGCCTCTTTCGGTGCAAGTCAACGGGTAAGGTGTAGTTTCTGGAAATCTGTACAAAGAATTCAAAAATATTTTACTGGTGAGGCAACGATTCTAAAATTGAACATTTATATATACCTCACAATGGCAAAATTGTACATTTTACTTCATCATTTATGGTATTACAAAAGTGTACAAATGTGGAGGAAAAAAAAAAATCTAAAATTATTAACTGTATCTTGGGACCATTTCTGTTGTAAAGGCGTAGAAACTGCGGAAAGTGGTACTAAAAAGTACTGAGTACCACATCCTAAAATGTACTAAACATATGATTTGGAGCCCAAATTTTATATTTCAAATATGCTATAAAATTGCTCTTTTGGAGTTTAGTACCAAACGATCCTGGCTATTGTTAGAGCAACAGTTCTGAAATTTGAAATCTAGATTTCTCTGAAGGTTATAATAAGATTTACGACATTTTACTAA